GCGGCTGGCTGAAAGCAGGTATCTGGGTTTGTTTAGCTTCTATAATTGAAACATTGTTGCTTCCGGAGCTCAGAGCTGGGCCGTGGCAGGCGGGGAACCTTGGCTTCCTCCATCACTGGAGCAAGCAAGCCTCATGCTTGCTTCAGCTGCATGGCTGCAGTCCGCCATCTTTGTTGGTAGTTAATTTGCATATCCTGCTGATTAGCCAATGGGAAGCGTAGCAGAGGTATGATCAATTGCCATGTTTGTCTATTATTAGATAGGATTTTACTTAGTATAATGTTCTCAAGGCCCATACATGTTGTTGCAAATGACACTATTTCAGCCTTTCTTATAGCTGAGTAGTATTTCATGGTGTATATGTATCACATCTTCTTTATTCAGTCTTCTATTGCAAGACATTTTGGTTGTTTCCATGTCTTGGCCACCATGAATAATGCTGCCATGTACATAGGGGTGCATATCTTTGTGAATACATGATTTTGAGGTTTTTGGGTATATACCCAGAAGAGGGATTGCTAGGTTGTATGGTAGCTCTATTCTCAATTTTTTGAGGAATCACCAGACTGCTTTCCATGTGGTTGTGCCAGTCTGTGTTCACAGCAGCAGTGAATGAGGGTTTCCTTTTGTCCACAACCTCTCCAACACTTGTTATTTCTTGTCTTGTTGATAATGGCCACTCTAACAGGTTTAAAGTGGTATCTCATAGTTTTGATTTGTATTTCCCTAAATGCCAATAAGGTTGAACATTTTTTCATATATCTGTTGGCTGTTTGTATGTCTTCTTGGGAGAGTTGTATTTTCAGGTCCTTTGCCCACTTTTTGATTGGGTTGTTAGATTGTTTAGTGTTGAGTTTTATGAGTTCTTTATATATTTTGGAAATTAAACCTTTGTTGGAGCTACTGTTTGCAAACATCATCTCCCATCTGGTTGGCTGCCTCTTTGTTTTATTGTCAGTTTCTTTTGCTGCGCAGAAACTTTCTAGTTTGATATGGTCCCATTCATTTATTTTTGCTTTTACTTCCCTTGCCTTTGAGGTAAAGTTCACAAAAAGTTATCTATGATCAAGGTCCATAGTTTGGTACCTATATTTTCTTCAATCTTATTGTTTCAGTTTTTATATTTAAGTATTTGATCTATTGTGAATTAATTTTTGTACATGGAAACAAACTGTAATCCAGTTTCATTTATTTGCATATGACTTTCCAGTTTCCCCAGCATCATTTGTTGAAGAGACTATCTTTACTCCATTGTGTGCTCCTGGCTCCTTTTTCAAAAATTATCTGTCCATTTACATGTGGTTTTATAGCTGGCTTCTCTATTCTGTTCTATTCATCTGTGTGTCTATTTCTCTGCCAATACCATGCTGTTTTGATTATCATAGTTATGTAGTATAATTTGAAGTCAGGTAGCATGAAGATATGACTTATTAATATGGAAATTTGGCTAAGAAAAGAAATGCCCGTGTAAAGACTTGCATTTTCATTTCAAAAAAATAAATATACACTTAAGGAAGTATTTTATAAGGTTAATAAAAATATAAAATCTATTGCTCTTTATATGTAAAAGATAAAGTGAAATATAATTTTTTAAAAAAACCACAGGATATATAACATATATTTTTACTAAGCCAAGTATTTGTATTAATATGGGATAGGAGGACTGGATGAAGGAAGGTGAAGGGATTAGTCACAGAACCTACAGGCATAACCCATAGACACATAAAACAGTATGTGATGGCCAGAGGGAGGAGGGGGCAGGGGCTGGGTAGAGGTGGGCAAAGGTTGGAGACAAGGGGACATGTGTGATAATGTCAACAGTTAAAAAAGAATGTGTTCTCAGACACAAAAATAATTGTTTTAAATTCTACTATAACAATGGACCTATCTCATGCACATCTTAACTAATTTCTCCTTCATAGGTATGTGGGCTTCATGCGTTTCTCATAAATGATGCTTGTGTGTGCATATACTGATACATACCCATTACTGTACATGTTCATATGGGAGTGGGAGTGAACATATTTATTTAAATATTTTAAAAATAAGTATTGTATATTCATGGATTAGTCTTCTTAGCCTTTTATTCCTAGGTGTCATATTTTTAAGACTTTTGCATTACGCTAAATGAAATAAATCTGTCAGAAAAAGCTAAGAACCATATGATTTCGTTCATATGTAGGATATAAAACTGACACTCATGAACACAAACAGCAATGTGGTGGCCAGAGGGAAGGAGATAAGAGGAAAAGGGGGTCCTAATATAAGGTGACAGGAGAAGATTTGACTTTGGGTGGTGGATACACAGTGCAATATACACATCTTGTAACATAGAAACCCACACTGGAAACCTATATGATCATGTTGACCAATGTCACCCCAATCAAGTTAATAAATTTAAAAAAAACATTTGCTTTGGAGATGTAATTGTTGGAGAAATTACTACAAGAAATTAGGAATTTTATGGTCAAAAAGGTAAATATTTTATCCAGACAGATCTGAGCTGTATGAAACTGTCTTACTGTTGATTCTATATAATTAAACTGTGAATCCTATAGAGGACTTTCCCTTTCCTACAGCCTTTTTAAAAGCACTCTTGACCTCTTTGTTCCTCAGGCTGTAGACCAGAGGGTTCAGCATGGGGATGACCATGGTATAGAACACAGATGCAATTTTATCTGTGTCCATGGAATGACTGGAGCTGGGCTGTAAATACATGAAGATGCCTGTCCCATAAAAGATGGAGACTGCAGTGAGATGGGAAGCACAGGTGGAAAAGGCCTTTTGGCGGCCCTCAGATGAGTGCATTCTCAGGATGGTGATAAATATAAATAGGTAGGAGAACAAGATGATTATGACAGAAAAGAGGATATTGAAACCAACCACCAAAAAAATAACCATCTCAGTGATGTAGTTGTCTGAACATGAGAGAGCCAAGAGAGGAGGAGCATCGCAGAAAAAATGATCAATCACATTGGACTTACAGAAGGAGAGCCTGAACATGTCCCCAGTGTGGATGGAGGCATTCAGGAAACCACAGATGTAGGAGCCTATGACCAGGCGTGCACACACACCTGTCGTCATGGTGGTGGTGTAATGCAGGGGTTTGCACACTGCTGCGTAGCGGTCATAGGCCATGGAGGCCAAGAGAAAATTTTCTACAGTGATGAAAGCTGCAAAGAAAAAGAACTGGGTGACACAAGCATTGTAGTTGATTATTTTTTCTCCTGTGAGGAATCCTGCCATCACTTTGGGAGTGACAGCTGAGGAATAACCAAAGTCCACCAGGGAGAGGTTACTGAGGAAAAAGTACATGGTGTGTGGAGACGAGCGTCCAACAGGATCAGGTTGATCATCCCCAGGTTCCCAAGCAGAGTGATGAGGTAGAGGAGAGAGAAGATTGTGAAGAGTGGGATCTGCAGTTTCGGGTCATCTGTTAGCCCCACAAGAATGAACTCAGTCACCTCGGTACTGTTTTCCATGAGGATTAATTGAGATTTATGTGGCTGCCCTGTAGCAATGAGAAAACAGAATCAGAATGACAAATGGAGATAAGACTCTGCTGAAATCAACCAGCATGTCTACTCTGCGGCTCATTTCACTGTTGCAACAGCATGTTTCCAGGAGTCTGTAGACTCCTATGTCACGGCTATGACAATAAAATGCAGTTGTAAATTATTGAGAGGTCATAGAAAATCCAGGTAGAAGGATTTAGAGGTAATATATCCTAATCTCCTAACTTCATAAAAGACTGAAATAAGATAAAGAGAAGAAAAGAAAGGACGTCTGCAATGTTATGTGATTATAGTTGCTCATGGAAGGAGCACAGACTCCCAATTCAAAGTTTACAGATCAACCACAAATTATTCTTTATATTAAATTAGAATAACTTCATAAAATTAATGTGAAATTGAATTAATTTTACTTCAACTGGCATTTTTTTTGTCTTTTCCATTGTATCAAGAACAGTGATATATGAATAGGGAAAGAATTAAAGAAAACATGTCCTTAGCCTAAAATGCTCTCAATATAGTACAGTATACAGAATGTGTAATTTACCAAATAATAAGAAAACAATAGAATTTCATGTACAAGGAATAAAAACATCTAGAAAATAATAGTTTTTAATTTTTCTCACACTAGTACTATTTTAAGCTTCTGCATTCAGATGTCTCTGATCTGGGACCATGTTAAAGCTATGTTAAAATATGAAAATCCCACCTCCACTATGTACATAACCAATGAACTTGGGCAATGTACAACATTTTCCCTATCAAATTGGGTTGATCATGAAAACTGGAACTATGTAAGTTGTTAAATATTATGACTTAGACAGAGGGCTTGATCTACCTGGTATAAGAGAAGTGGGTAATATAAGATGGAACTTCCAGATAAGGGCAAAACCAAAGGTTTGATAACATCACTCATGCTATTTGCCATCACAGATAAAAACAATAACAATTTTTAGGCATTATCGCTGATGTTATGAACTATGTAAGGAAATTTTTAAAGCCTATATAAAAACCTATCATGGAATCTCTATTTATTTCTTTAGATCAAGAATCATTTCAAAATGAAGTCTGATAATTTTATCTAGTTAAAAATTTTAGCTAAGTAATTTAGAGATTAAAAACAGTTAAGAGATTAATTATACTGCAGTACTAATTTATTTGGTCCAATGATGCATTTCATTAAAAAAAATCTAGTTGAGTGGCTACTATAAGCAAGATACTGCCATATACACTGGAAACAAAAAGAAAAACAGTAATTTGTATTTTGAAAATGGAGGCAGATATAGAATAAAATCAATAGAAAAATATATAGTATATTCAGACATGTTTTCAAAAGCTGAGTGGAGGATGGGTAAATTTAGAGATAGGTGGGTATATAATTTTAAACATGGTGGTCTAGGAAAGACTTGTTCATAAAAGGAAACTTTTGAGCAAATACCTAAAGGAATCAGGGGATCAGGGCTTGAATTTTGGAGAAGAATATTTAAGGCAGAAGGAACAGGAAATACAAGGTGCTGGGGTGTGAACATGCCAAGATTGTTCAAGGGACAGCAAGAAAAGCGTCATGGCTGCAGTGGGGAGAGGAGATTAGGTCAGAGGGGTAAGGACTTAATAAATTACTTTTTAAGTTATTGGACTTTCATTCTGAGTAATATTGGAAAGCATTATAGGATTTGGACCATAGGTGACAAAATGGACTTCCTATTTAAAAGGATCACTCTATTAGATCTGTTGATAATTAAATTTAGCAGGATAAGAATGAAAGGTGCTAGAAAATTAGGTCATTGTCATTCTAGGTAAAAGATGATGATTTCTGGGATCAAGATGATAGTGTGAGAGAGAATGAAAAATTATCCACTTTGGGATATATTTCAAAAGGAGAGGTAACTAAATTTCCTGATATATTGAAAAAGGGGCATGAGAGATAGAGTGGGGTCAATGCTGACTCCAATTTTTGTATAGTGATACACAGAATAGTGTAAAGGAAGCAGATGTTTGGGGAAAGGGGGGAAAGAGATAATTTCATCGAGCTTGAGATCCCTTTTGGATATTCATGTAGAAGTGTTGCATAAACAATTAGATGTGCAATCTGAAGTTTAGAGACGAGAACTGGCTACAACAGATTAATTAATTTGAACTATGTTGGTAACTTCTAATGGGTCAATGCACATATATGTAATATTAAATCCACAAGATTAAACAGTACTACCAAAGGCAAGAGTTTAGACAGACAAAAATCGAAGTATTCTAATGTTACTGGGTCAAAAAGATGAGGACATTGGTGGTAAGGGTTATGTAGGAGAGAAATTTGCCCGCACTTGAGGTGGCCACAAGGGAAGCTCTCTCCCAGGACACAGACTTCAGTTTGACCAAGCAGGTAAAAGGGACTTTCAGGAAAAACATTAAGAACATGTTGGATTATGTTGATGACTGACTATAAATTCCAAAGGGCACAGCAAGGTGATTTCAGGAGTTTAGCAGGAATGGAAGCCAAGGTCAGTAAAAGGGATATACAGAGATGTGTAAGCATTATTTTGTTGGACTTCAGGACTTGTATAACAATCCTCAGCTTCATGCTAGTGACATAGTATTAACTATAATAATGAGATTAGTCCTATGGTTCTCAAGGTAAGGGTAGGGGTTGGAAAGGTGATTAAATAGACAAAGGTCATGACAGAAGCATGGAGAATTCCGGACAAAGCTCACTCCTGCTATTAGAGGTATGAGGGCTAGTTACGCAGAGCAGAGTAACTAGGATATTCTCTTGGTTCCTTAAAAAAAAAAACCACCCAAAATAAAACAAAACAGAACACCAACTTAAATCAATAGCACAGATACAGATTTCTCAAATTCTGGGGGAAATAACAATGTGCTAAGAATAGTTTTAAAACTTTTTATCAACTTTCTTCTCTACATGTGAAATGTTAGATTTAGATTTTAATCCCACATCAAAAAAATAAAGTTAATTTTGTCTTGAAAAGAAATTAAGAATTGTAATGGTTCTTTGAGGCATTTATTGATCTCTTATCATTCTTTGCTCCACAGATGGAAACTTCTTATGGAATGGAACACTGTCTAGTTGGTGCTCAGTAAAAACTAAAAAATGCAATCTTCCTGGCAAAATTCTCTCTGCCCCCAATGTAAATCTCGTGTTCTTCAAAGAATAACACAAGTTCCAAAACTTTCTTGAAGTTCCCCCCAATCCTTTCTCTTTAAATACAATTATGTCATTATAATCAGTGGAATCTATCACTTTGTTACTCTAAAAAAATTTTAATTTTGTTATTCTTTTGTGTGAGTGGAAGTCATGATTCATAATGACTTAAGCTGCAATAGATATTGAGCATTTGCTATGCTCCCATCAACAAACTAGACACTGTGCTACTTTACTTCAATTAATCCTCACACATGTGAGATATTATCCCCAATTCACAGGCATGGAAACTGAAGATTGCCGACATTTAGTTACTTGCTTAAGACTGAAGAAAGTTGCAGAGCTGGAATTTGAAGCCAAGTTACTTTGAATCTAAATCTTAGCTCTTTGTCAAGAAGAAATATTGCCTTGAACTTTTTACATTTAGCTTAAACTGGGCACAATAAAGTAACTCATTTAGTTGACTAGTTGATTAACTGATTAAGTAATCTATCATTGGAAGTCAATGTGAATAATTAAAAAGCCCAAAGTGGGAATCAAATGGTTGTGTGATTTTGTGCAAATAACTACCTTTCTGGATCTTAGTTGAATAACAAGAACTGGATCCACAAATGTTTACAACCCACTTCAAACCTCAAAAATCCTCAAATAGTTAAAAAAGAACATAACTCTTTAATAACACCAACTGATGAGCCACATAAAGTGCTGGATGCTGTCCATGCCTTCATTCACTCCTTGAAGACCAAGTCCCTGTGGTGCACCAAGCTGTGTGCTGGTTTCCAGGCTTGCTGAGATGCACAAGCAAGATACATTCCCTGACCTCAGGATAATTAGTAGACTGAGACAGTTATATAAACTGATGAATATTATGAGCTAGTTCAATTTTCCATTCCCAAGAGAGAGCATTTTTTCTCATTTGCTTAGACTGTGTGATGGTAGTTTATCTCATTTACACTGTAATCCATTAGTTAGCCCATGTAATAGTTAATAAATTGAGTGCCCAACCCCAGATAACTCTTTAATGGCAAAATAGAATTTGAGATCAGATCTATTTCCATAATTAGTTAAGTCTTATGTAATTTCACTGATCTTCATTTTAGTGCATTTTATAACTGATTCCTAAGCCTGATTTTTCTCTCATTATTATTCTCCATTTCTTTTCTCTCTTTTTAAATATTATATTAGCTCCAAGATTACAAGAAAATTTTATATTGATTTTCTCAGCAATTCTGAGATTAGTCAAAATAACTAATATCTCCACACTCCCTGAAAGAGAAAACTGAGATTGAACTGTTTAAATAAGCTTACACTTAGCAGAGACTTAAATCCTTATGTGCTTTTCCTCTATGTCACATGATAAATATACATGTTCTAATAGGATATCCACAATGTTTAGACTCTATGGTGGCCAGAGGGAAGGGGGCTGGGGCTGGGGAGAGGTGGGCAAAGGTGGGGGAAATGGGGGCATCTGTAATAGTGTCAACAAGAAAAGTAGTAAAGTTTGGCCCAGCCGGCATGGCTCAGTGGTTGAGCATTGATTTATGAACCAGGAGGTCACGGTTTGATTCCCAATCAGGGCATATGCCTGGATTGTGGGCTGGATCCCCATTGTGGAGTGTGCAGGAGGCTGCTATACAATGATTCTCTCCCATCATTGATGTTTTCATCTCTTTCTCCCTCTCCTTTCCTCTCTGAAATCAATAAAAATATATTTTTTAAAAAAAGAGCTTTAAAAAAGAAATATTCAAAACATTCAAGCACAATCTTTAAATAAATCAAAGGAGAAATTACTTTTTGATGCATTTTCTTGATTACC